ACAACCCGAGGACATGATATTTGAATATTGGCCTTTAGTTTTTTTTCGTAGCGGGTTATAGTATCCGCTGGTTCAGCGCCAACATACGTGGATAGTAATAATACCTGTTTGTTGTCTTTCCAACTTGTGACCGACAATTCTAGGCCTTCGTGAGAGGCCACATTTTCGTGATATGTTCCTCTGGGTACGTTGGATTTCATAATCTCCCGTTTCTCCGGCAACTTGCACGACTTTCCAAGCCTGTTTCTCTGTACTGTTCCAAGACAATAAATACCTTCGTTGGTCAAGTAATGTACCAGAGGAATATTCGTATAAAAATTGTCAAAATAAATTATATGATTGACATGCCTTGGTACTGGTCGTAGCAATCGAATAACTGTATTCGACACAGCTCCGAGGTCTGGTTCGCCAGGTAAACGGTCCATGTCCTTAGCTCCCGAGTAAATCTCAAAACTGTAGGCATAACCAGACAGAGAGCATAACACGTATAATTTGAATCCCCACTTATGGGGCTTGTTGGGTAAATATTGTTTCATAAAATGTTTCCTTTTTGTGGAACACATCTGCTCGTCTAGTGATAGACGATGCTCAAATGGTAAAGTAATAAATTTCTTGTTCAAATAGTCTATCACTGGTCTTACTTTATGCAGTCGGTCGTGCTGGGGGTGATCAATGGGCAAATGTTTAGAGTCGTTATTCATGTGAAAAATTTCTCTAATTTTATCAAATCTGTTGCGATTCATTGTTTGTACTATGGGTTCAAACTTTGTAATGTTTGACCAGTATGACCGGACACTAGGATAATGATATACACTAGTAAAAATAAGAATTCCAATAAATTTACGTAATTCTAAGACAGTTACAGGTTCTGTAAAGTTGGGATTCTTTTGGAAGGCATATTTATTTGACTCGTCCACTAGAAATCTCAAAATGTCTTCACCGAAAAAATAAGAAAAAAACTGAAATGGAGTGTCTAGGTTCATAATTTCTTGTGAATACTCAGTATTTCCAGCAAACTGGAAAGCATTTTGGACTAAATCCATATTTTTTACTCTCCACACTAAGTTTCTAGAGTTGAAAGGTGCAGTTTGCAGGTTGTTCTGGCTGCTGGTTGTAGGAGTTGGGTTTCGTTCAACAGTCTCTAAATTATGTTGCATGTCGGTATCTACGTTTGCTGCAGGCGGATCTGCATCCAAGTTTGGGTCAGTGGGAAAATTACCTACATCCTCTTCATCATCTAGCTCCATCAGACGATCTCTTGGGCTCGAATAATAGTCTATGTCATCTTCATTGTCGGTGGAATCGTCTTCCGAAATTTCACCATTTTCTAACCGCTTCAATATGTTCTCAATCTCTTCTGGCCGCATTTTGGATAAATTTCTATAATAAATAAAAACAAAAGTAATCCCCACACCAAGCTATGCAGAAAAAATATGAAACGAAAGTTCAAAAAGTTTTATAGCTAAAGAGTTAGTAGGTAGGTTTTATGTAGGGCGGAATGCCTGAAGTATCAATATTGATACCAAAAAAAAAAGCACTAATTTCTTCAAGTAAAACATGCATTTGCTAAAAATAATTATATCATAGCGAAAATAATGTATTCACTTACCTCAAAAGTATTTATATTCTTCAGAAAAAGAAAATATATCAAATTTATATTCAACAAAACTTTTAGTAAAATGTGTTTACTTGTTCACTTTGCCGCGCAAGTAATATGTCACAGATAAAATAAAACAATAATGACATTTGTTTTTTTTTTAATTTCGTTGGATAGAATACTATACAACAGTAAAATACATACAGCCAACATATAAAAAAAAACTAATAGTAATGTGAATATTCGGTTTAAAATATTAGTATCAAAATTGAAACTCTAGGTTATTAAGGGTTAAGGCAATATCACTTTTAAGAGTGCAGTTTTATTTGTAATATTACTAATTCTGTCATTCAATACAAATGAAGAAAAATGAACTTTATTTCAAGCACGTTAAAGTCTTTGCGTTCGTGGATTTGTACTGTGACCACAACATTCTTCCGGAATTAGTATAACTAATTTGACAAATAATCAGTGCATTAAAATGTTTAACTAAAATTCAGTGCATGTATTATAATATACTAATTAGGGTGTCAGAGGGTGTGCGTTAATTACGTTACATATTGTATATATATATATATATATATATATATATATATATATATATATATATATATATATATATATATATATATATATATATAGTACTGAGCAAATTTCGATGTGTTATTATTAGTGAAAATTGATAATTATATGATAAAAATGAGTGGCAGGTGATCTACTATTTGGACTTATTTTAGAGAAACTGACGACCAAAGTAAAGTGAAATGTACTAATGTAATGTAATGTTTCTTTGTTTGATACCAAAAATATTTTATCAAGCTTTCTATTTGCGATAATTGGAAATAAATCTACAGTGCCTCAAAAACATAACATTTCAAGTAGATTTAGCCATAAGTAAAATATACTTTCAACGGTAAAATTATGAAAGACATGGCATTACTCAATTCGTACATTTCAATACAGTGGACACCTTGAGTACCACTTTAACGAATGTTCGGTGATTTAGCCGAATATTCGGTAAAGCTGCGCGAATATGCCGAATACCGAATATGAAACGAATATTCGGCTCATCTCTTATATTAACCGTCCGATATAATAATAATAATTTAAAAGCTGAAGGTACTCCAGGTTAACATTAAAATCGGGACGTCCGTCACCGTAGTCCTCCATGACCATGGATGCTGGAAGGCATCCTAAACGTCGGTAATTTAAAATCATGTAAATTAAACGCCATAAAATCTGTAAAAGCAGTTATAATCAATGTGTAGTGTTTGAGTAAATATAAGAAAACGTAACATTTTTGTTTTGTTTTTTTTTTCGCAGCACGATTTAAAACAGTCTTTGAGCAAGGAAAGGCTGGGCAAGCATCGGAAGGCGGCCAGAGAGGACTTGTCACTGGATTATGATGACGACGAGAAATGAATCTGGATCCTCAAAATATTTGTTAGATGAAGCACTTTAGAACTGCCAGATGTATCATTGTATAAGCGTTATAAATTTAGATTGAGCTCTGGTAACTCATAATACCGATTTTACGAATTAAATCGGCGAAATACCAATAATAAACGTAAATAGCATTTCACCAATTTTTGTATTATAAGAGTAAATTTTGTATGATACACACTTCGTCGATAAAATCCATCAATGCTATTGTGTTTTGTATATGAGAAGAGAACCGGAGACTTTCCAATGGCAACGAGGCATTCCAAGTCAGTCCTCAAGGGTAAAAATGTCTGCATTTTTAATTAAGGATAGATGTGTTTATGCGCCACATCACTAGGTGGCCAGCGTGCTTATTAGTGACTCTATTTAAAAAGAAACTCCGTCTTAAATGTCATGCTATAAAACTAAATTAAATAAATTTATTTTTTTGTCATTTAATGACTTCATATTTTAACTCAGATAAACAAATAATGAAGATATTCATTTCAAGTGACGTATAAACCAAACCAAAACTATGCACAGCTATTATTAAGAACACACAATCACATGCATATATTAAGTATCTAACATCATTTGTAATCAAACATAGTTTTAGGTACATAAGAAATGGAATAGGAAAGGAAGGAAAAAATAGATGTGTGGTGAAAGTTGAGCATGGTTTTTACGTCACTTAAAGTGTTCGGAATCGCTCCGTCGATCTTGTTTATTAGTCTGAAATAGTTAATGATTATAAAGTAATGTTAGAAATCAAAACAACCATATAAAGCTGATACGAACTTTATTTTATGTATTTGATTTTATATACATGACTTATAACATAAAACAAATTATATATTGCAATGATAATATGAGATTTATCATTATATCATGTATTCTCGTTATTCATACTGACGACATTAAAATATAAAAGATGAATTAAGACTAATAATAGGTACTTGACTGCATAATCTTAATTATAATTAGTTATTTATAGAGATTATTATAATAAAATAGATGTAAATTGAGAACTCTCTAATCAATCATTAGAGTGTTGAAGAAAATTAATAAAACATAATAACTATCGAAAGATAATTTACGTTATTGAAATCTAAAAATAAATTCGAGATATAAATGTCAAAAATGTATTTCATATATTCAAAAACTGTAATTTGTTGCAATAATTAAATACATACATTATCATCTAAAATCCATACGTTTAATTTACAATAATTAAAAAGAAATTGCGGCATTTCTGTGAAATTGTACATTTTGAATTTTCTTAAAAATTTCAGTAAGATTAGATAACTAAAAGCTACTTATTAAAAGTAACAGATTTCATATTCTATAGTATTTTAGTAGAACTTACATACCATACATTAGATGATTGCTATAAACTAGGACTAACAAACAAAGATAGACAGAGCTCTACGTACGTTTCAAGTGAAGCAAAAACCAGGAAAAAACTATTGCGCAACTTATTGTAATAACACGCACTCACAAACGTAAGCATTTGATATAATTTGTAAACAGACAACATAGTTTTATGTGCATGTGTGCGTCCAGCAGTAGATTTATAGCAGCATAGTTTTACGGCCTGATGAAGGACGCAAAAAGATGTGTGCGTGAGTGCGTATCAAGAAGTTGAGCCCGAATTCGGCGTCATTTCAAATGTACATAGAGATCTGTCCACCCTTCTTTGTTGATCCGAGGGTAAATATTAAAAGAAAACCGTTCACATTACACTCAAAAAAGTGAACCGCGTCGCTGTTGCTACATACTATAAAAGTTATGTGGATGATCCTTTTAAATTTAATACATATACTAGAGTATATTAAAGAGTACGCAAAACTTGAAGTTTAAAATGATGACATGACAAGAGGATAAAATTATGATTTAGTTTCTCATTTGAAAAAAGATTTTCAAGTCGTAAGTCGTAAAAATAGACTGAAACGTAATAGAAAATAATATGTATCTAATTGCCTTAATCATCGTCCGTACCCATGCACCTCACATACTCTAATGCCTTATTAAGACACTCGAGCCATTCATCTCTATCCTTAGGCGTGTCCGCAGCTAAAAGATGTCTGCGCACAATCTGTCCGTCCGCTCGTCGCACGTAAATAAGCGATCCCGTGTCCGGGGACGCTAAGCCGGCCGGCACGGAAGTTTCTAGGAGGAGGGTGTTCGGTCTTGCGCAGAGATCTCTGGGCGCCTTCACAACTCGTTCTGACACTACTGTGGAGAGGTCGATGTCGCCGATGGGCATCTGAAACGAAATGCTTTATGTTGAAGTTTGCGAATCATTATCATCATTATTATTACGTGTAATCAAAGTTCACGGTTAAATATAGGCCTTAGTCTTTTAAATAAAACTATTTTTTACGGATTTTATCGCGTATATTAACTTGTTTATATTCCCGGCGTTTCGAGCCCTTTACAACACTGTGGCGGCGCTGTCGACGCGCCGCAAGCGAAACACGCCGAAGCCTAAATCGCGCTATCAAAGTTCAGAATCATAAACAGTATAACATCTCCGAACTATCACACGGAGCATTGGCCGCTCCCCGGGTAGAACACCTTGCCCGGCGGGAGATCTCCTCTTTTCCTTCACGGCCACAAGCACCCATGGTCACGGAGGGGACTGAGGTGTTCGACGTCTCGATATCACAGTTAACCGCGGTTAGCCATAGATTAAAATTATTAATTTTTGTTATGTAGTGTAGATCACAGTATGAACTTATAGTATCTTGAAGTCTTGCAGTTGTATGCTTGGGTTGGGATTTAATTTTATTAATCATAGGATCCCTAGCACAAGGCAACATCCATCCACCCAGTATTCACAGACTGCAGATTTCCCGGAGCGTCAATTCTGTGAACGCGTACAAGATCGCCCGCGTAACTATCAGATTTGAGTCCAAAAATTCTCGCTAAAGAACACCGATTTTTTCCCAGGATGATTCGCGAGGCTATTGAAATCAAAAAACATCCTAATTTTAATAGAGAAGATGACTGGGTGGTTTTTTGGTCGTTATTAGGAAGAGGCAGCTGCCCCCCCTCTCTTACCCCTTGTCGCCTCTTACGATACTTGTGGTACCAATTGTATGAGTTTATTAGGTTTTTCCGTCAAGAAATACTCAGTAGTAGCCCCGAGTCAGATAGACCATAGAATACTATAATAGACAATAGAATGGCTGTCAACCTTATTTTGTACGAGATTCGGCGTCGCCGGTGCTCCCGGCATACATACAAGCAATTACGTCGTATTATCACTACTACAAACCCGATTCGCTGTGTTGACAGACTGAGTAAATTTACACGTTTTAGACTTTTGATTAAAGTTCAAAATCATCATTATAAAAAGTAGTTTAAATTTTAATACTTATTTATATGTAAATAGTGTGCAATTTGGTATTTTCTAAATAATTTGCATGCGAAATTTGGCAACGATTGTTACGTCAAAACACATCTCGTGTTGACATTTACACGTGTGAATTGACATATTACTGACATTTTAATGTCTACACGGGCTCCGTCCACTCCCCCGTTCTATTATGTATGTATTGTAGTATTCTGTGATTATGTATGAATGAATTATATGAATGTAGTGCACGAGTGTATTAAACACTGTACCTGTGTCTAATACACTCGTGCACTACATTGAGTCTCCTTTAAGCCTAGCTGCCAGGAGCGAATTTTTTTTAGTAATGGACTCGTACGTAGTGGATATTTTTACACCGTTACTACAGTGTTATTACATTCTTTCTTCTTTATATTACACTCTTACACAACATGTTTATGCGTTACATTGGGTGGTTTTTGGGAGATTTGTCAGGTTGAGCCGGCAGACAGTCGTTGGCGATAGAGTTCCTCACCTTCCGGTTGGCATCATCCGGGTACTTCCAGTACTGCAGGCGCGGCGTGGTCAGGCGGAACCAGCGCCGGTGCCAGGCGCCCAGCCCCGACACGTCGTCGAACGCCGTGAGGAACGCGCAGTGCTGCTCGGGCGGCGACACTCGCAGCTTCGCCTTGATGTCCACATTCAACGACCCCTCCAGCGGACTGCCGCAAGGCACCTGCAGACAAACGTTTTCCGACGTCAATACATCCTTAAATTTGCTTCCATAGTAGAAGGAAGAATTTTTACGTGGCAGAGCCACGCTGCAGCTATATTATGGTTGTAGCACGAATTGGTCTGGTGGAGGAGGCCTGGTCACGAGTGGTGATGGGGATCGAATTCGGATTGCTCGTATACAAGCAACACTCGTACGCATGCAAGCGCACGGCCCCTGAGCTCTTACCACGGCTCTTATTACGTCTTCATTTAATTAAAATATAGAAGTACAACGCGGTCACATTAACTTGACGCATGGCTTTGATGAGGTCATTTACAACAGTGTAACAAAGATGCTAACCATACTGACGATTGCCGGGCGAGCTAAGGGAGTGCGGGGGCTAGCGGGCGGGGCCTCGCATTCCAGCGATGCGTCAAGTTAATGTGACCGCAATATAGCATTGTTCTTTGAGAACAAATCATTCTTCGAATGATTATTATTACAACATTGTCCATGACACGAACATAAGCTTTTTCCATTCAATAAATATTGAAAGTAATATATTTGATATGCATACTAAAAAATCTCACCTTATTTAACGTGAAGGTTTTTCTGGAAGCTTGCTGCAGTGCGAAGATGCAATACCCATGCAACTGGAACTGCGGACTTCTGACGGAGTGAGGTCCAGCCGGACTCTGAACGCGCGGGGCTTTCAATTCCGATACCTTTGACTTTGGAGTCAGGAGTTTTGAGTTTGACTGAAAATTTAATTTTGATTTATAACTTAACAATAATATTAGACATTTTATAACAATAAATTGTTGTATGTTGCCTGCAAACGGTATGTTATATTACATATACAACAACATGTTACAAAGACCCTGTGGTTTTCGCGCGTTATTAGAATCAGTATTCAAATGTATAAAACAACTTTACTTCAAAAATTTCGGCCATAAAAAATTAAACTAAATTAAAATCAAATTTTATTTGCAAATATTAATATGTGATTTTATAACCTCTAATGACACGCATATCGGTAAAGGGTCTTCGACAATACTCTTACTTCTCAGGCAATGCAGAGGTAATGAAAACACATTTTTGCAAATAAAAAAAAAAAATATTTCAGTTAGAATTCATTTTTTTTATGGCCGAAATTTTTGAAGTAATACAATTGGCAATTTAAAATACAATGCAAAGGGCGGAAATGATGATGATGACATCCTTGTTTATGGTGTTTGATAAAGAGCTAATAATAAAGTATTTGGTATGTCTTCATCTCCGTCTACACATTCCCTACGAAATACAAAACAGTTCACTAGACAAGGGCCTAAACCAGAGATGCCGCGAATAGTTGCTATGGAGAATAGTCGAATACCGATTACTTGCCATTCCCCATGGCAAATAGTCGAATACTCGCTTTAATTATTCGACATAAAAAAGGAATATACAAAATAATTTGTTCTCATATAATAATATTACACTTGTAGTAGTCTTTTGAACCTACCTATCATTTATATGTTTACTGTAATTTAAAAAAATCGAAGATATTTTACGGGGAATAGCCTCATTTTATGAAGGAAATGGCGTCCAAAAGATCTCGCTCAGTCAATGAAAAGGGGGATGTTGTTTCAGAAACTCATGAACTATTTTGGGCATGTTTCGAAGAATCTAAATCTACGAGAACAGAGTAGTCTAGTGAAGAGTAACCCAATAATACTATTGCTGATGAAATTGCCTGCTACATCAGGTTCGCAAAGGCTGACAGAAGTTTAAACCCATATAAATGGTGATCTTTGAGTACCAATTAGAATCGATTCCCAATTTCAAGTAAGCTTGCTAAACTATACTTAGTTACACCAGCTAGCTCCGTTTATTCAGAAAAACTATTTTCTGAGGTAGGTTTGGTTTACGAAAAAAGCCCAACCGACTCGATCCCAGTCGTGCAGAAAAAATAGTTTTTCTGCACCACAATCTACCTCTTTTAGACTTTAAATATTAATTAAAAAGCCTTACTAACTTCAACATGACTGATTACTGCTAACTTTTATATTTTTAATGATGATTATATATTAAAACTAAGTGTGTTTTGTTTAAAAGATAAATATAAGTAATTATTTTGTCTATAGTTTTTCTCTCCATTTAATATTAGTTTATTTTATTTAGACAACTATTCGCCGAATATCGAATGATAAACACTATTACTCGCTATTCGACGAGTAACAACAAAATGGCGAGTAATGCCCAATACCGAATAATAGCGAGTGTTCGCGGCATCTCTAGCCTAAACCATTGTATGAACGGTCGTAGTCAGTCGACCAAGAATCAGGATTAGAATCTTACCTTTTTATTTGAGATGTGATATTTGACTTCATGGGGTAGAATTTCCTTTGATGCTTGCAATAAATAGATTTCAACAGTGACCTGAAAATAGAACAATTAAGTACTATTAGATAGTTTTGACATACATTTTATGCTTTATAACACAACAGATTTTTTTTTATAAGTAAATGTGTCAAAAGAGCACGTAGTCCGCCCGATAACTGAATGCTGTGCTGTGGCCCTCCCACGCTCGCACAGAACACCAGCGTGTTCAGAGTTCGTGTTTAGCATATTGCTGAATCGGAGGCATTTTTTTTGGTAACGAATCTTTACATGTTAGTCCTCGCAGGTTAACAAAACATCTGTACTTTTTTATTTTAATGGCTATGACGGAGTAATTTAATTTTAATGGCTAATGAAATAGAGGCTAAATGGGTTTTACTATCAGATGTAGTGTATCCGTTTTTTCATTCTTTTATAGTCATACTTACTTCAATAAAACGCATTCTGTGGGAGCGTGGTCCTATCCCGGAAGAGTAGATCCACTTTTGATGCAGTAAAAAATAGCTACACTGTTGCTCTACCACATGTTCACAACTATTTTTTCCACGCCTTTGCAAAAGATTCGCACAGCTAAGTTAGACGTAAAACCTAAAGAGGTCTTTGACCGATGTGTGTATTTGCTAGTCTGTTTTTTTGTTTGTATATTTATTATTGGATTGTATATGAGAAATCTTACCTTGAAATCGCTGGCGAGTCCATCCATTCGTATCTCGTCGGGGAAGTGCAGGAGGCTGCTGGTGGGCTGGGTTAGCTGCATGCTTGTGGCCAAAACACGGTCACGACACTTCAGCAAGCACACAGCATGGTGACCAATGGCACCATCTGTAATTCATATTTCACATATTTCTACACATTTATGACAATTCACAATAGAGAAGTAGCAGGACAGTAAATTATCAGAGAAAACTCTATTTAATGCGACATCTCATTTTTAAATATTTTAATACAAATATTTTTATTTATTACTATATTACATGTGTGATCTTTGGCCAGATTGATGGAATAAGAATGTTTCGTTCTATTCAAACAGATATAATTTGATAAAAACATCAAAAGTCACAGCAATGTACAAAAAGTTTTATATAATGGAATGTTAATTGTGTGAAATAAAACAAAATGCGGTTATAAACTAATTTTTTGGAATTGAAATAAAAACAAATATTTATTTAAATTAATTTAAGTTTTTTTTTGAACATCTTACAAGACACACTTGAAGTTAATGTGTAATGGGAGGCGAAATGTAATTCAGCAATCCTAGAGTTGGTATCGTGCGCAAATGGCAATGTTTTACAAATGAGGGGATTCCCTTTTAAAGGGAATTTAGATTAATTTAGGGGGAGAAAGGGGATGCTAGAGAGGGGAATCGAGGTTAGGAATTGACATAGTGTGACAAAATTACAATAATTTTTCACCATCAGTATTACAACTAGCAAAAAAATTCAATTGGACGTATAGAAAAGTAACGTTTAAAATGGAAACACTAGCAAATTTTGCAACACGCGAGAAATCTGGGTTCGTTCTCAGCTGGAGCTAATTAATTCGTGTGTTGTGTTAGGTACCCACCCGCGTTGAGCTGTCGCACGTAGTCGCGGCGTAAGGGCACGTTCAGACTGTGCAGGTGCAGCGCCGCCATGCCGGCCGCGGCCGCCGGGCCCGCGCCCTCCACCTGCAGCCGCTGCACCTCGTGCACGCACGCCTGCCGCCTGTGACCTGGCACAAAAGGACACATTTACGTTTCATCCTGTATTATTGGATATGGATTGTTGCTCCTGTATTATTGTTTAAATAGTGGTTTGAAGTAGATTTTAATAAGTAAAAGTGGCGCGCTTTTTGTATATTAAGTAGACTTGCAATGAATGTTCTGCTATAATATAACCCTATTCGGTTGAACACCGAATACTTTAAGTAAGATGTTATGTTGTAGTCAGATAAATGGTTAAATGAAAATATTGATTTAGTTTTTATTAATGTATTTTTTTTAATTTTAAGGTCCGAAAATCAACTTCTGTATTATAAAAATTCACGAAAAACTATCAAATATCTATGCACATGAATTATAGTAATTTAAATTTACATTATTGTGTAGAAAAGTATTTTTTCTGCATTTTCAGGCAGTAGTTTCCTTTTTTTTCGTAGACAATCTTATTTTCGGAGAACATCAAGGTCGCTTAAATTTAATAATGTAATAATAAAAGGAAATTGGAAAATCAGTGCGTATGTAATTACCTTGCTTTACTTAAAATATTCGTTGAATATCGCTTATTAACTATTAATTATCTATGTATCTGCCTCTTTCTATCGTCACTTAATGAAAAGAGCGATGGCAACTTTAAGCATTTCTTAAATTGACGTAGTTTTTTTTTAATAAAGTTGTAAATTTTAATTAAGAATTCAAAATTTTTAAACGTATCGTATACTTTTTGAACATTCAAGAAAAAGTTTTACTTACTCGCTAAAAGCAATAGTCTCTCGCCTTCAGCTTGTTCTGTGGAGCCGCTAAATTCTATCGTGGCGGCGCAAAGATTCAATGCTTGACTGGCCTGAAACATTTTTAGTCATAAAATGGTTATAAAATTCAAGACACGAAAAGAGTTTAAGTGCGTGAAATTCGCCGAAACTCGCCAACTTACATTGGGCCAGTGCAACATTATTGTTTGGTTAAAATCTCAGAAATGAGAGGCCAGTATCCAGCAGAGTGTGTTACTTTAAAGTTGTTTTTGAGGGTTGGTAAGGAAAATCATCTATCCTAAAGATTGTTAGGTAGGTTTAACATGAGATCATAAAATACGCACTAACACAGGGCTGTGGTTTCCTAAATCAATTAGGACCTCAAACATGTCAGGAACAACAAAATGAAATATAAAAAAATGGTTCAACCATTCATTGCAGCCTATCACAAATCAACAGGTGAACATAGGCTTCATAGATTTATCATAGAGGTATTTGCCACAGTTACCACGATTGAGGTTGGCAACCACTGTTTTTATACATATGGAGCCGTTACCAGAAAGATTTTGCTGCCCACCTCCTGTTTAACCCTTCAAGTGACATAAAAATCCCATGCATGCGCCCGGTAAATTCCGAGCGGTCGCATGCGACCTCACCCACCCACAGCAATTTAACCCATAAAAACTTATATACAGAGACTACTTTTCTATGAAGAAGTTTAGCATTATATAATCTATACAAAATTCTCTATTTTGTGGTCTAAACAAAAGTCAGGTTTTACTTCATTACAAAAAGATTTTATTGTATTTTGATAACAAAAAAAAAAACATACCAAGCGAATGTCGGCAGCGTGAAAATCAAAATTATTTCTATATTACTCGAAATTACTTACGTAAAAAGATAAATTATATTCAAACAAAAACTTTCATTACAATTTTATAATAAAACACTATATAAACACTAATATTTCACGCGAAAATGGCGTACGAAATGAACGTAGATTATAAATAAATATTCATAGGATAACAGTTTTTTATTGCACTAGATCACTAGAGGATAGAGTATTTCATATTGATTATAATAGAGAAGTAATGATTTCTTATATTTACGCGAACACTACACATTGAACTAATACTAGTTTTTATGTATTTTATCGCGTATATTTAACTATAAATACCCGATGTTTCGAGTGCTTTACAGCACCCATGGTCACGGGGAGGACTGAGATGTTCAACGTTCAAATGTCATAGTTAACAGCGGTTACCATAGATACATTTTTTTTTATCTATGATAAATATTTTTTATCTATGGTAACCGCTGTTAACGATGACATTTGGACGTTGAACATCTCAGTCCTCCACGTGACCATGGGTGCTGTAAAGCACTCGAAACGTCGTGTATTTATAGTTAAATATACGCGATGAAATCCGTAAAATCTAGTATTATTTCAATGAATAGAGAAGTAGTCTCTATATTTAAGTTTTTATGGGTTAAAATGCTGTGGGTGGGTGCGACCTCATGAGACCGCTAGGGATTTGACAGAATATGGCCGCGGTCTCATGAGACCGCTAGGGGGTTGAGAGGTTAATTTCTCTTTGCCTCTTATAAAACAGTTTTAAGCGTAAAAATAGGTTTTTAATGAAATAAATAAACACAAGGATACATAGGCCGGACTTAATACCGTTTGGCATTCTCTGTAAGTCAACCCGGGATGTTAAAGAAAAATGTTGGCAGGTGCTGAATCTAAATAATATATTAATAAATGAAATATATATACACTTACCTTTATAAACAATAAACATATGGGATGTTATGAGACAAAGGAATATTATTTTCTGAACATGCGTTTACGTACCTGTGATATGATTGTCTGTTGTTTGGCGATTTCTTTCTGCAATTCCTTGATGCGTTCGCGCACTGTGGTGACGTTGACGACGGGCTGGTCCGGAGTTGGTGGTATCTCGCGATCCGGTGACGTGTGCCGGATCACTCGAAGCGGAGTCGAAGGGGTTGTTGACTGTCGATGGATATAAAGGTTGAGTTACGCTGTCGTCTCACAAGCGAAGCGTGAATGGTAAGGTCATAAAAGGCTACAGACAAGTGATAAAATAAAAAAAAATTGTACAACTGACTTTGACATAAATGAAATGAGAACATCATCCAAATTAAATACGCATTATTAAAGATAACTCAAACATTACTGGTCAGATCAAATTTATATGGGACGTATGGGATGAGTATTTATAAAAATAATAGAGACAAATTGAGAACTTCCTTCTTTTTTTGAAATCGGTTGAAAAAGAACCGAGAAATGAATTATTGTATTCATTTGTATAATATGTTATTTTTCTTCAAAAAAATGCGATTAGTATTTTTTCGAAGGAAAATAACACTATCAACATTTACTAATATTTGTGTTGATTACTCCAAGTAAGCTCTAAATAGTTGTATTAGTATATAGGCCAAAAAAAGTTTCAAAAATGTAATAAATCATAATTAAACAATTCTAATATTACCATAACAGCAATACTAATAAAAATAAAACAAACATTTTTATAAATATATGCGTACCTGTGATATAGAGCAAAAACCATAACTTTTTAAGTATGCGGTCTCTACTCTTAACAACGTAAGTATTTACATTTTTTTAAAACAGCTTTTTTTCTTTTTGAAAATGTTTTTTTTTAAATAAAGTCCATTTTGACTTTCTTTAAAAAAAAAGAAAGTCAAAATGGGCTGCATCGTTCTTAACAACCCGAAGCACAGCTGGCCTTGGGCTCTCACGTTCTAGGGAGAGTTTCGTTCTAGGGGGAGTTCTTTAATCACTACGCTTAGGGCTACCATCTAATTATAAAAAAAACTCGCCCGTGTGCTTGACATGCGCACAATATTCAGCAATAAAAGTACGAGCCAGATCAGATGAATGAAACAATGTTATTTGTTGAGATTTCATTCATTTGTTATTAATATTTGTGATTAAACTGTTTAGGAAATATTTTAATTTATATTTCTCATATTTGTTTTTTCTATTCGTAAATTGCTATGATTTTCAAATTTTCCCTATCTCCCTAACAGAGGACTAAAATTACGGACATATCAGGAAAATTTGTGTCATCTGGTAACCCTAGGCACGCTTGACAAGTGGACTGAAGATCGCAGTACCACCAGACGTTTTGCATTGTTGACGCTCCTAGTCATCAGTCAAGGTATTTTACGGTGACGTAATCGATGTGGTTATTACAGTCCCGTTATCTACCGGAAGCCGTAATTGGAATTCATCCCAGCAGAAATTCATTCATTCAATAATGGAATTCATCCCAGCAGAAATGTCGCTTCTCCTCGGATAGCTTATGCAGAGGTTTGGCTATATCTGCGAAGTTCTTCACAAATCGTCGGTAGTAGGAACACAAACCCAAAAATGCTCTAACCTGCGTCTTGTCTTTTGGAACCGGCCAATCCTTGACAGCGGCGATTTTCTCTGGATCCGTGCGGATACCTTCTTCCGATACTACATACCCCAAAAAGTTAACTTGCCGTTTGAATAGTGAAAATTTCTTCGGACTCAACTTGAGGTTGGCACTCTGAATCTTCATGAGCACGCGTTCCAGGTTTTGAAGGTGTTCCTCAAACGTACGGCCTACGATGATGATGTCATCCAAGTACACCAGACAGGCATCGCATTTGACAATGAATAGAATTGACATATCCATGGCATTTTAGCCGCCTTCTTCTTCTCCATAAGCCCGTAAATGTCCATGATAAACAGCGGCTTCTCACATTGTAGGGGTTTGCCTTAATAGTCACGCTTGACAGGCGGACTGACGACCGTCGTATCAGATATGTCGCGTCCTTTGACGCTACTTACGTTAATATCTTTTGAATAAAATTGTCCGATGAATATTTTTCGAGAAACATCCAAACTTTCATTCCAATTTAATAATATATAACATAACCCATATGACGGCAGATATCATTGTACGGTTCTTCGAGCTATACCTGGCCGACCCATTGCCACTTCAGCTTACTAATCCGTTGGGCTATGTCAGTCACTCTTGGTTCTACTGCGGATATCCTCATTTCTAAGTTTATCACGCAGGGAAACCCCGAGCATAGCCTTTCTTTATGAATTTGTTTTCCTTAATAAATATTATTTTCATATAGCATCTATAAACATTAAAATAATACGATTGAAAGAAACATAAAAATAATAAATTTTTAAAACATTACTCGAAAAGATTAAAAATTTGAATAATTCAAATTTAAATCGTTGGATATTTTCATTCAGGAATTACTTACGGCATTTTGCATTCTCCTGTAGAAACTGACGCTGTGCACTAATTCCGAGCCGCGGTCGTTCCTGGCTGGTGTGGTAGCTGGAGGAATTTTGACCGGCGACTTGAACTTCGCCTTTTCTTCGTACACGAAGCTCGATGAAGACAGACCCTGCTGTTATAGATACGTTTGTGATAATTCATGTCATACGTAATACTTACCTACATTGTCTAGACGCCATATACGAGTATTTACATTACGGAAGCATGAAGTAACTATACTCACACAATAATATAAGAAGTTACTTTAAATAATTTAAAACAAAATAATAAATGATGATGTTGAAACAAAAAGTTTTTCATTACATAACAATGTCCTTCAGACCGAATTTTGGTCACGCCAGCCTGTCTTAACGAGGACTACGCAGGCATCTACGCAGAACAGGATTAAAGTGCTGGAGTGTATGCGCAAGCATAGGGTGCACTTTCTATTCTCTCACACTAATCGTTCGATGAGAGAGATCAGACGCAGGACCAATGGCCTTACGCGATTTCTGGGGCGCGAAGCAGCGCCAGACTCCAGGCTGGATCATACGGTTATATCAAGCGTTACCATAGTATAAATTCAATTGTATTTATTCATCTTTTCTATAATGTTTTAGTTACAAGAGTATCTAATATAGTAAACTTCTGGACTTAAGTCTCGTGTCATTTAAAATAATTTATTAGTTACCAAGTTCTGAAACTTAGTAGCATATTCTAGACAGACTGAACAAACAATCAATTTTTAAGCGATTTAAAAAAAGGATGTAGGTTTTTTTTCAATGTGTCACCTCAGAACTTTTTTCTAGGTGAACAGATTTTGATAATTCTTTTTTTTTCGGTTTTGAGAGCTGATGCTTCTCATGTGGTCCCATATAAATTTGATCAATAACTGACCAGTAATTTTTAGTTATCCTTAATAATGCGTATTTAATTTGGATAATGTTCTCATTTTATGTATACTGAAGTTGGTGTTTGTATGTGTTTTGTGGAAGTTGTACATTTTTAATTTTACCACTTGTTACCTACAAACATTGCTCATGTTGTTATTCACTGCAATAACTTATTCAATTATTCATCAACACTGTACGCAGCGTGTTCGTAGAATTTTATGACGAAAAATCATTTTTATAAGGACCTAAAAACATCGGCTATTTAGAGTATTATCGCACGTCCATCATTTCCGTGTGTTTATAATTTTTATTTAGTTAAAATACTCTTTGTCCGTCTTTATTTAAATAAATATAATATACATGCATATAAGATAACTGATAGATAAAAAATAAATGTGTTGCAATTCATTATTAACTACAACAATAGGTGTGCAAATTTTAACGTTAAACAGCATTTAGAATAGCCGCCTCATAATATTCGCGCTGCTTCAGTGCGTGTTGGTGATGGTGAGCACGAATCAGCACGGTTCTGTCAGATACCGGCTCTGAAGTCAGTTACCATAGGTTTTCTGTCAAAAACTCTCGAAGAGAAGAGAAGTTGGCGGAGTTTTCAACCGTGCTTCAGAAAGTAAATAAAGCCGTTAGTCCAGCGTCAGATCTCTCTCCGAGCATGTCGGATTGCCGATCGTACTATGAGAGTAAGGGAACATAGTGTACCTGTGCTTGCGCACAAACTCGAGCACTGTAATCCTATCCGTGATACCGGCGCTGTCACCGAAATTCTCCCTGGAGGATATTACTTACTTTGATGCATATAATTCTTAATATTACAATAATCTTGTTTGGAACAGACAATTTTTAAGTTTGGTACACTATACTAACAAGCATTGAACATTTTCCGAGATTCTGTTTATGCGTATTACATTGCCTTATAAATCTATACAAATAAATAATATTGAAATGTCTGCTTGTAATTTTAAAATAACAGCTTTATACTAAATGCATATGAAAAGTAATAATGACGCTTATTACAAAAACACATTTTAATAAAAATTATGTATCTGTCTGTTTGTACCGGCTAATCTCCGAAACGGTTGGACGGGACTTTCACCAGCAGATAGCTAATGTTAATGTTTGTAAGTACCTTAGGTTACTTTTACATAAAAAAAAGAATTACTTATAAGCAACTAGTATACTACTTTTTCAGTGGAGTTCTATAACTGTAACTGGCACTGGCATAACAAACTTGGATTTGTTCCTAATATTGAGAGGATATATATCAACATATTATAGGTAGCTATCCATTATAGCCCTTCGGTAACTTTTACACTATATATATATATATATATATATATATATTAATATATATAATATATATATATATATATATATATATATATATATATATATATATAATTTTCTCGACTTTAGAATTTAATATAATATGTACCGTCAACGAATAAACATATATACGAGTACCTATATTTAATTTACCTTATTCACTTTAGGAGGCGTGGGGCCCTCGCTATCTTCAAGTGCTTCATCCAGGAGATCATCGAGCTCACTGTCACACGCACTATGAGAACTGTCCGAATCGCTTTCGCGTACTGCCTTTTTATAACTCGTATTGTTTTTCTTTACTACCTATGTAGAAGAGATAAGTTCGAACGGCGTTTACGTTGGATTTAGGAACAAAAAAAAATACAACAATTAAATAAGTAATAAATTATACTTACATTCATAACCTCTCGACCGAAGGACGTTTCAGCCCAATTATCAGATTTATTTAAAACATTTTCATTAGCATGATTCTCCACACTGAAAGGAAAAAGGTGTTTTAAGTATTATAAAATGCACATAAGGGTAAAGTATGAACCTCTCATTCCCTTATACTTTGCTGTGAACTATTCAGTAGTTCCTTCTCAGTGTGCGGATAACATAACACATTTTTAATGAAAGGAGACAATCGTTTTTGGGCGACTAGAAATTTTTACGTAACTAAGATACCAATTTATTATAGTAAGGAGCCTAAATATTTTATGAAAATCAAACCGGAATCATGAATTCCGAAAAAAATAGTCGTTTTGATATTCGTGTTCTGGCTATGTAAAATGAAAGAAATGCGTGTAACAAACAATGAACTAATAAAAGGATTTTGCATCAATCTTAAAGTACCTCTAAATACTGAATGTAAACTTCGTTTTATATTATTAATTACTGACCGGTGCACTATGAGTATTTACACTACTGTACGTTTTACTAGGAGTTTTCTTCCTCGAACAACTCTGTGAAATTGTTTACCACCGGCGACTTTTTCGGACCAATAGGACTTAGGGACCTTCAAAAGCTCCCCTGGTGTTGTGGTTGTTCATAGGCGGCGGTAGTCACTTACCATCAAGTGAGCCTCACGCTCGTTTTTCCCCTTTACTTAAAAAAAAAACATAAACCGATGATAACTACTATAGTACGTGAGGGTAATATCGTCACTTTCTTATAACTCCAAAACTACAGCCTTGTTTGCATAGATGGCTCTGTGATACGATAGCTGTTCATCAGTCAATCAAATAATAAAGGGTCAAAAGGGAACTGCTTTATCGACGCCTTTTTGACAGTAGACATTATAGTAAATATATTAGTCGATTTTAGTATGGTGTAGTGTAATTTTTTTTTAACATGATTTTTCGAAGTGTTCCTAATATTGCCAAAGCTTGTTTGCTATTTTTTTCTTGACATATTATTTATAGTATACGACTTTGTGTTTTGTCCCTATCCTCTTCCTAGTTTCGGCTTTATAAGCCGGAAAAGCTTAAGGTTATCAGTACTCCCAGTAAGTCTTAATCTGCGCCTTATAAAGTTGCAAGTGGTGTGCTGGCATGAAGTACCGTCTGTTCCCAAAAAGCAACTTTCCAAGTGAGAACGCCGAGAAAGCCACCCAAAAGAAAACCCAAATTGTGCGTTTTAACTACTAAACTAAGAACTAGATATAGTCGTCGCCGAGCCGAGATTTTGTTTGACAAAGACGATTTCGGACACAAGTTTCGGTGCTCGACGACGCGTTCCCAAAAAATTATGGCGAGGCCGGAGTAAAAAGCATCACAAGTGCCGTCGTCGGTAAAGCAATGAATGCACTGGTTTGCAACATCTAATTGATATACAGAAGAAACAGTAGGTGATAACAGATTAATGCTGGTGTGACACACAACCGTGTGTTACACCAGCATTAATCGGCTTGTAGTCATAGCATGCATCGTCTACTACGACCTTGATGCTCTGATATGCAATAAAACTGGCCCAAACTAATTGCACAATTTCTCGGGGCGCCCATACGAAGGAAGCTTCGAACGAAACGTGGAGGGGGTAGCTGCGAATATCGTATCAGTACGGGGGACGGAATGCGACTGGAGAGCCGACCAGCGCGCGCGAACGAAACGTACAGTCAATCATACGCAATAATGCGTAATACGGCCAATTATGCGCAACGGTCATCCATAGACTTTCGTGCCGCGAGTAGTACAATACGATGGCTATGGGCCTTCGTCAATAGTATTTACGATACCATTACGAACTTTCATTGCTGGTAAGACGCTTGTCTTTTAGTCTTTAGGTGGAATAACCGAGAATCACCAAGTTTGATTATTGATGACCTTACTATAAAATATAGTATTTGCGTACATGGGAATACAAATTGATAAATATAAACTGCGCCAGCCCCGAGTTAACTATGAAATTAGGGCATGACCTCTCGTAACAACGGCACTTGAAACGTCGGAATTAAAAATAAGAGAATTTAGTTCTATTCAATGTGTAGGATTAAAAAAAAATCAAAAGTGATAAACGAACTTACAGTCCTCTTGGTGGTAAGTGGCAGTTCATGAACACGTGCAACCAACTTCAAACAAAGATAGCTACAGGTTCATTGTCACCTCCGAGGACTAAGATGGAATGCCTAATTGTAACTTTATACTCTTCAAAGCAGAACATGGTAATGCAAGCACTTTTTGACTGCATGATGTACCACTTAATATTTATGTATTATAAAATAAACAAAGCTTCTTTAAAAAAAACTTTGAGCCCCTAACACAGTCGGGAGTTATTATTAAATGCACAGATGTTATATTTTTACAATCGTACGCGCAAAAATTGCCCGTGCCCGATAAGCAAAATAGGATTGAAGGTAGGCTTGGAATAGGGCACCTATTATGGAAAGAGACACGGTAATTACTGTCTCATATACCTTTACGACAGAATATATACGTGGTACGTATATATTCCGTCGTAATGGTATATGAGACATTCTGCAATTATATTAGTAGTAAAGTTGTAGCACGAATGGGTCAGCTCGACCAGGGAAGGACCACGCTCTCACAGAATACCAGTGTGAAATAGTAGCTTAATGCTGCTGTGTTCCGTATGGTGAGTGTAGAGAACCGTAGACCCTTTTTACTGGAAACGAGGCATTCCATCTTAGTCCACACGGGTAACAACGCATCTGCATTTTGTTTTGTAATCGAGGATAGATGTAGATGTCTATGGGCCGCAACAACCACTTCCTATCAGGTGAACTGTGTGCTCGTTTGTCACTCTATCCTATAAAAAAAAATGTCTTGTTGGATTCGCAAATACAAATTCATCAAGTCATCCTTTCGTACCTTTTAGCTGAATGCTAAAGCTAAAGCAAAAAAATTAAATGGGTGAAATTATATTTGAATATCCCATACATTTCAATTTATTTTTACGTAATATTCTGAATACAGTCTGCCTTGTTGTTTTAGTGGTCGCAAACGCGTGTGGCCTCGAGTTCAATCCCGGATCGGGCCAAAATCAGTTATTGGGCTTATCTATCTGTCAAGAGTAGCAGCGCGTAGTCTAGTTCGTTCAAGTTCTAGTTAGTTTTTCATGTGGTAGAGCCACACACTGCAGCTATATTTTAGTTGTAGCACGAAACTACCTACCGGTTAATTCGGTAATTGAGGTCAACGGCAAGCCTTTTACCTGGTATGGCTCCACCATTTCTTTTTTACCATTATTTTTACGCGGTAGAGCCATGCCGCAGTTATATAAAAAAAATAAAAATATATATATATATAGTATATAGTCGAAAAGGGCAGAACAATGTCTGCCTGGCAAGCTAGTCTGTACATAGTTTTCATATTATATTTGTCACTGCTATAAATTCTACTGCTTTTATACGTCACTTCAACATATTTTAATAAATTTCTTCAAATTCGGGGAGAGAAGGATAGTATTTTTTTTACGCCAGGCGGTAATTTCTTAAACCAGTGACGGTAACCTGCGTCAAAGCCGCGGGACGCCAGGCAACTATAACTAATTCTCCTTATAACTAGAGGGGGTCATGTCTAGCAATTACTTTAAGGACTGTTGAATAGAAGTTTAGAAATTGTTATCTTATTGGCATGATTCTCCCAGATGCTGAAGGATTTTGCCATCATAGGCTTATGCAGACGTAATATAATAAGTCCTAGCTAATAACAATAATAAGCCATTTAATAATAAGCAATTATACGTAGTAGAGCCATGCTGCAGTTATATTAGTAGAATAGTTGTAGCACCCGCGATCGGGGAAGGACCACGCTCTCACAGAATACTAGCGTCAAATAGTAGCTTAATGCTACTGTGTTTCGTATGGTGAGTTTAGAGAACAGGAGATCCTTTTTACTGGAAACGAGGCATTCCATCTTAGTCCTCACGGGTGACAACGCATCTGCATTTTATTTAGTAATCGAGGATAGATGTAGATGTCTATGTGCCACAGCAACCACTTACCATCAGGTGGACTGTGTGCTCGTTTGTCACCCTATCCTATAAAAAAGGCCAAAAAGACAAATTGTTCGTTTAAGTGACTGGATGTTTTGAGATTGTGCCCGAGAGTATTAAAGTAAGTGCCTATTGTGTTTGCGCGTAAATTTCATCATCATCAGCCTCTATCGAAAAGTCTCTGACGTATATGAGCCTTACACACTGTAGGATTTGACTTAATAATCGCGCGAGACAGGCGGAATGACGATCATACTATCAATTGCTAGGTCTTCCTTACAAGATTTTTTTAAGAATAAGGTGACAAACAAGCACACAGTTCACCTGGTGTTGAGTGGATGCTGTAGCCCATTGACATCTACATTTATCTTCAATTAAGAATCAAAATGCAGATGCGTTATCACGCCTGAGGACTGAGAATGCCTCGTTTCCAGTAAAAAGGGTCTCCGGTTCTCTACACTCACCATACGAAACACAGTAGTATTAAGCTGATATTCTATGAGAGGGTGGTCCTGCCCCGGTCGAGCCGACCCATTCGTGCCGCAACCACAATATAGCTGCAGCATGGCATTACCACGTAAAATGGTTGGAATCCTTTGCTGCCAAGGAGTCCGTTAAAGTAGTTAAGTACCAACGTCTTATATATTTCTGCCACCAAACAGCGGTAAAAGCACTGCTGTGTTTTGGCCTGAAAGGTAAAGAGTGCCAGTATAATAACACGGTGCAAGACGTACCATCGTACTCCTCACAGGCGATAACGCATCTGTAGCTTTCTTTGTTTTAAGTTGGTTGCAGGGTTTTTTTATTATAGGAGTGGGGACAAACGAACATACGGCTCACCTGACGGTAAGTGATTACCACCGCTCTTGAACAACTGCAACACCAGGGGAATTCCAGATGCGTTGCCGGCCTTTTAAAAAGGAGTAGGCTCTTTTCTTGAAGGTCCCTTAGTCGTATCGGTCTGGAAAAATTACTGGTAGTAGTCGATTACACAAGGAAGTTGTGCGAGGAAGAAAACTTCTTTGAAATCTCAGTGGTGGACC